AAGTAGAAAAGAAGCACAGAAATTACAAAAGAAAGATTGATTAGTAAAAACCAGCAGTAAATTTGAAAATCTACCTTTTGCAAAACTATAAGATAGTAAGATTGACTCTATAAAAAATATCTGAGGGAGCTCTGGTGGCCTAGTGGCAAGAAGCTGCACTGCAGTCCCAGGGGTATGTGGTGCGAATCCACCAGATGCTCTGCTGGAGAAGGAGGGGCAAGCTCCTCCTGTACCAGTCAGATCCGATTTGATGGTACACACAAAAACAATAAAATAAAAAATTTAAAAAGATCTGAATAATCTAGAAAACTATCAGAGAAATCTTTCCTTCTCCCTTAAAAAATACATTCTATTTAGATGATTTCACAAACAGGTTGTGTGAGTCACTAAAGAACTGATAACTCTTGTGTTATTTAAGCTAAGGCAGAGTGCTAAGTAATGTTTTTATGTGCTGTTGGGTCTGAACCGATTTATAGCTGACCCTCCAGCAGGTTTTCAGAGGCTGTAAATCATGCAGGAGGAGCTTTCCCATCTTTCTCCTCCTGAGCAGCGAGCGGATTCAAGCCCTGTGCCTGTAGATTGGCAGCACAGCTTCTTAGCACTAAGCCATCAGAACTCCATGAATGCTAAATAGTGCTCTAAAAAGATTAACTCTAGACCTAAGACTGGATGACACCATCACAAAGAGAGAGAACTGTTACACTAATAATATTACTCTTGGTTACAAATAATTAAAAAAAATTAACAAGTTAATTTAGGAGATTAAAATTAAATCAACTACTTAACCAAGATTTATCCTGCAGATGTTGATTGGGTGGTACAGGTAAGCAAATACTCATTTTCTAGTAGCATTTCCAACCCACTGAGAGAGAGTGTCCTGGAAGATGTGTCTGGCTGTCTGTACCTGGAAGATTCTAGCCTTGAAAACCTGAAAACAGTTCTGCTCTGTATACATGCGGGTGGTTAGACATTGAGATCCACTTAATGTCATCCAGCAACAGTAGTCTATAACCACGATGATTGTTTAAAATCTGCTGTTTAATGATATTAACTGATTAAAAAGAAAACCCATCTAATATTCTTAAATTATCTCAGATTTAATCTCTTGTTCACATACAAGGGAGTTCTGATGGCATAGTAGGAATTGCACTCCCACCCCGTGGTGAAACCCCAGGTTCAAGAATCAGCCAGCTGCCCTACATGAGAAAGATGGGCAGTCTCTTCCTGTGCGAATTACAATGTCTGAAAACCTGCTGCAGGATCAGGTGTGAGTTGGTTCCAACTCAAGGGGCCTGAGAGAGAGATTCATGTAATTGCAATAGCCTATCCTGCCAAAAGAAGTTTTTAAGTAAATAAATCTCTTATGGCTTCAACTTGAAAATATACATTCAAGAGTGACAGTGTTGGAACTGTTAAAAGGATCTATAAAGAGCAGAATAAGATTTTAAATTTTAATGGAGGACATGTTGAAACATGTATTTGAGAAATCTGATTATATATGACATACTTTATAGAATAAAAGTATAATAGACTGTGATAAAGAATGATTAATTATACCAAATTAACAAGAGTAGTAATTCAGTGCTCCATGTGATTACAGTTACTGAGCTTTTATTAATTATAAAGCCATGTGTTTGTGTTTACCAGATAAGACTACTGAATGTTCTTTATAACCTACACTTTATGCAGTGCCCAGGCAGTCCAAATTCAGTCTGTCCTTCACAACTCTTGAGTTAACTCTGCTTCACACTGCAGTAGATCTGGAGGTTGCATTCCTTAGTTAATCTTATTTTCTTCTCAAGGCACATCCTTGAAGATATAATATGAAAATGAGATTGTGTGGATTCCCAAAGACTGGAACTCGGTGCCTTCCAGTCAGAACTGATTTACCGCTGACCCTCTAGTGGGTTTGAGACTGGTCATGGAATGGGAGGAAATGTTCTGTCTTAATCTTATGAAGCCACTGGTGAATTTGCACCACCAGAGAGAAGTGGCCTGTGGGTCAGCAGCACAACGCCCTTCAAATTAGGCCACCGTGTCTGTTTGACTCCTGTTTATGTGTATGTACTGTAGAGATTCCATAAATCATAAGCAGATAGAGCTAAGAGTTGGAGAGGAAGGGATAAGGCAAGGGAGGAGGACAGCTTGAACAGCATTCACAGTCTTAGATAAGAGCAAAGCCTGTAGAATTCAACTACGGTAGAAAGAAGGAGAAATCAGAAAACCAAACCAAGTTGCCATGAAGTCCATACCGTCTCCTGGTGGTTCCCTGTGTCTGAGCAGAACTGTCCTTTATAGAGTTCTCTTGGCTGCAATGTTTTGGAAGTAAATGCTCAAGTCTTTCTTAGGTGATTCCAAGTGCCATCTCTCTTGGTTAGTAATCAAACACTTAACCATTTAGCCGCCCTGGCACTTCAGAAAGGACAAGGGCAAGGTTAAAACACAAACAGCACTGATGATTCGTGTTATGAGCGCCTTAACCTTGGGGCAACTTGACCTAGTTAAACTTCAGTTCATCATTTGTAAAATGGAGCAAATAGTAATGTAACTCATGGCGTTATTGTGGCATTAACATGTGGCACACATGGTAGGTATTTTGTAGAGCACATACTGTTGTGCTCTGAGCAGCCTATTGGATGGGGTGGAAACATGTTGATAGTAGCAGGGCTCTGCAGTTTAGTTTTGCCCCAGATTTAGTAAAATGGCATCATAACCAAATAAAAAAAATTTACAGGACATAGAAGGAATATCATGTGAATATAAGAGTCAGATCTCATCTCATGGCCATTTCCAACACACCCACTTCCAAGCTATGGTAGTGTGTATATTTATTTGTCTTCCTCCATATTCTTTCTTTCCAAATAACCTTCTAACTGCGTCCTACTTCTTCCCGCTCCCCAGATGCTCCGTGTCTTACTGCTGCTGCCCAGACACTGCTCTTTAAGAAAAGAAAGAGCCATTCCTTTTTCTGTTCCTACAGTCAATAACTCTTATTTCTCTAATTGTCAAAGCAACAGTCTTCAGCTTAAGGTGCCCTGAATGATAGGATCCCCCATTGTCCTTACCTCTTGTGCACCTACTCTTGCTTGTTTTGCTCTGTCTACACTAGCCATCTTGTTCTTCCTGGGACACAACAAGCACAGAAGTTATTCCTTCTGTGGGGCACTCTTCTCCCGTGTATCTTCCTGGCTCTCCCCTCCATTCTATCTGGTGTCATTCTCAACATTACCTTCTCAAGTATCCCTGATCTTACTAGATTTTTTAACTGTTCCTCTCTGCTCCCTTCTTACTCTGTTTGGTTTACCTTTATTACTAAACCACACATTGCTACTATATTAAGTTACTTACATTTCTTTCCTATAACTGCATTATAATAAATACTACATTGTAGACTCTGTGAAGGCAGGAGTCTGTGGATGTTTTTTAAATCTGATGATATCAAGCTGCTCGAAGAGCAGATGCTTCAAAAACATTTTTTTAAATTAATTTGGTAAAGTAATAAGGATTTCCTGTGGAATATTGTAATCAGACAAGAGGTAATTAGGCAAAGAATATGCCTAGTGAAATGGAAGATGATAGAAGATTGAAGGCCGAAAATGACCCAAGGAAGAGGATTGGCTTTTGGGAACAGATCTGCTTTTGTAATGCTTTTTTTGGATATGAGGCTGTATTCTCGCTTTAGTTTTACCACTGACTTTACCCAGGTCACTTGAGGTCTTGGATTTCAAGTTCCTCATCTGCAAAATGAGGAGACTTACCAAGTGACCTCTTGAGTTTAACTGTGCCATGTGATCCTGTGATGGGATTTAATTTTGAAAAGGACAGATAAGGGCTAATGCAGACATAACTTGCATATTACACAGCATCATTTACACTCAGCCTCTTCCCCCAAGGACTTACATTGATATCTAAAAACCTGACTTACATCATTGTCATCAAATCAGGTTTGACACGTAATTACCCTGTAGGCATCTTAAAAGTTTACACCAAGAAACGACTATGAACTATGGCTCCAGAGGCTAGAGAGTTGCAGTCTAGTCTTAAGAAGCTGTGTATCTCTTGATTTGAGTAGTTGACACTGGAGAAAAGGAGATAACATGCCTTTGATGCATCTCTATTAGATGACAGACACATACTACTTGTCAGTTAGGGAAATTTGATGGGAATTTGCCTTTTATCCACCTGTTGAGCTGCAACATTATGGAATTATATACTCAGTCCACCTAATCTAAGCACACACACTGAGAAGGCTTGTCCATGTTGATTGTCATATACTTTGTCTCCTGTCCCTGAGGTACCCAGGATATATTTGTGAGCCTTTGTTCTGTGTTTAAGTGCATATCAAAGAACAGCCTTCAGTCTTTGTGTTGGAAAATCTTTGGACTCTTAAGAATATGTCCCTGTTTCGAATCCTTGGTTGCATGCATGCATCTCATCTCTTCTTTCTTCATTTTGGTCACTATGTTATTACTGTTGTTACGGTGCTACAGAGTTGACTACATTTCACAGTGACCCTGTCAACGGTAGACCCAAACCTAGTCTTCTCCTGCAACATCCTCATGACCTCTGACATAAGCCCGTTGTTTTAATTACAGTGTCAGTCCATCTCTTGGAAGGTCTTCCTCTCTTTTATTGACCCTCCACCTTTCCCATTATGATGTCTTTTCTAAGGACTTGCCCTTCCTGACAGCATGTCTGAAGTATTTGAGATGAAGTTTTCACCATCCTTGCCTCTAAGGAGTAGTTGGTTGCACCCAACATGAGTTTTTCAACTGGAATGACTAGAACAGTGGAGGAGAAGGGAACTGCCATCTCATAGTTTGGGGCAGACCTGGGGAGAGATTTTCATGGCTGGCTAACCTGAGTTTGAGTGTTCTCCCTGGATTTGCTTCTCTGCCCTCCTCATTAGTTAGTAAATAGATCATCATCTGTCTGTGCTTCTAATCCAAGTGCCCCACACTGCCCCAGGGCATGTGCTAAATTCTTTTTCTCCCATTTAGAAGAGAAGCCAGATTGCTCCAAGGCCCGCTGTGAAGTCCAGTTTTCTCCGCGTTGTCCTGAAGATTCCATTCTGATCGAGGGTTACGCTCCTCCCGGGGAGTGCTGCCCCTTACCCAGCCGCTGCGTGTGCGACCCTGCGGGCTGTCTGCGCAAAGTCTGCCAGCCGGGATACCTGAACATACTAGTGTCCAAAGCGTCAGGGAAGCCGGGAGAGTGTTGTGACCTCTATGAGTGCAAACCAGGTATGCGCGAGCTTTGTCTCAGCAGCCTAGCTCCTTTGCATCCCAGGGTGTAGCCAGCCCCTGCTCAGCTAGCTCTGTCTCTCCTTCTGCTGAAGAGAAGCCTTCTTGTCAGTACCTTGCAAGCCTACCATTTTAGGTTGGTGGCAGTCTGACTCCTCAGAGTGATAATCCAGTGGTGTGGAAGTGCCTTCAGAAAGGGATTATCCTTTTCTCTGTCTTTCCTCATTTTTCCTCCTACAAATTATGCTTGGAGGATAGGGGTTGGAGGTGGTTAAGGAGTTGCACTTAGAATCCAAAGGCACACCAGCTGCTCTGAGGGAGAAAGATGAACAGTCTTCTCTCATGTGATTTGTAGCCTCTGGAAACCCACTTGAAGGGTCAGCTGTGAGTCAGTACCAACTCAATGGCACGCAACAGCAGCAATACATGGCTGCCTGCTTCATTCTCCAGAAAGACTGTAGACCCCCTCATTTGCAGATGTATCTATCACTTTAAAGTGACATTAAAAGACAATCATCCTTTAAAAATACAGTTCTTTTTTAGGTGTATGTATGTATGTATGTATCAAAATGCCATAAATTTTATAATGAAAGAGTGAGCCAGTCTTCCTCCTCACCAGCTGCTCCACCATCCATCCCCTTGACTTTATAGCACTCACTAAGTCATCTTTGATTGGATGTTCACTTTCTTTGCCAGCATTTGATTTATTGTGTCCCAGCTGTTTCTTGCTTCATTTCTAACATCCTTGCTCTTGTGGCAGCATTTCTGATATGGTCTATAAACACATCTCAACTGTAGTGATTGCCATTTTGCAAGTTTCCTGCTAGATCGATGCTTCATGCAGAATAATTCCTTGTCCATCTCTTAGACTGTTCTATCGGAAGCACTTCTGGCTGAATATCACCGTTCTTATAACCTGTAGCCACCATTGGTTGGGTTCTCTCCTCTCCCCCCTCCCCTCTTCTCTCTCCATCTTAACTTTTAAATGTCTCATCTTGCCTCATTTTCTTGCACAGAAAACTTGGGACTTGTTACAGTTCTGTAGCTGTGTAGCATTCATTGAGTGTAATAAAAATACCACCACAAGGACAAGGTTTCTGGGAAGTAGGGAAGCCTTGGAAGTTTGTCAAGAGCCAGCATTTCATTTTAGGACTCAACATGTTTTGAGTAAATGTAACAGTAAATGGTGCCTCTCTGTTTGCCCGTTCCAGTTTTCAGCGTTGACTGCAGCACTGTGGAATGCCCTTCCGTCCAGCAGGCCGTGTGCCCCTTGGATAGCTACGAAACTCAAGTTAGACTCACAGCTGATGGGTGCTGTACTCTGCCAACAAGGTTCGTTTGTCATTAGTTTAAGCTCTTTCCTCTGTCTTAATGTATGTTAGCCATCATTTGAGGTACAGTTTTAAGCATGCAATTGGACTTCCCATGGGAAACCTAATACCTTCCTGTTTCTGTGAAGAAATCAATGAACTGTTACTATTACTTGGTACTTAAATATATCTTTCCTGGGATCAAAGCCAGGTATCTTCAGGTTAAGTCATTAACCCTTAGAGATGTTTCACATGTGCACATTTGAGAGCTTGGGATGAATTCTGCAGACAGACATATCCCTCTGTACATTGATAGGGAGGGGTCATATGTCAGTCGTAGGAATTACATTTGAGTCTCTGCAGTGAATGCTGATAGTTGCTTATTGCATGCTTAACAGAAGTGTTTCACAGGGTTCCTGAATGTTTGGACTCAACATCTATCTACCAGGCCCATTAGCACTTTCTGAGGCAGAGAGGAGTCTGAATTCTTGAATGCTTTTTGGAGTAATAGAGACATCTCTCTTTGGCTTTTTTGAAGGTGGTGAAGTGGTGGCCACTGTCACTTTATAATTGTAGTAGTAGAACATCCACTTAGCTCTACAGGACTTTCTCTAAAACCTGAGCATCTCTGGCTCCACAATCTGCAAAGTATCATCATTTTGCTGGCATTTGTATTTTGCTTTGGGGAAAAGATATGCTTGGCGTGTGTGGGGTTTATAGTCTGCTTCCCCCTCTCTGATTGTGCCCTTTCCCTGCTGTGCACTCCCTTTCACCTTCCTCAGGTCCTGGCGCTCAGAGTTGGTGCTTCTTGCTGTGCCCTTGTCTAGAGCGTCTGCTTTTATTCTGTGTTTCACAAGAATGAAAACTCTTCTTTGCCTAGCTGCTTTCTAACCTCCTTGAGCCCCAGCCCCTCTTTGCCTGACACCTAACATTTTGTTTTGTTGACTAATTGTCCCATACAAATGATTCCATAAAATGGAATCCCAAATTAAGGTATCAGGCATTTGCCTTGTAGTTAGAATAGGCATTCAGAATCTGTTCTGATGGTTCATTTTTTGATGATAGATATAGGTGGTGGTTGCACAACAGGATTAAGGTAGCCATGTGTCACTGGATGTTACAAATACAAAAAGCTGGATTTACAAGTGTTCTCTATAAAGTAAGGAACCCTGCTGTCATAGTGGTTAAGTGCTTACTGCTGACCAGAAGCTCAGTGGTGTGAGCCCACTGTGGTGTCACAAAAGAATTAAAAGGTCTGATGATCTGCTTCCATAGAAACCAAGCTTTGGGAATCCTGTGGGACAGTCCTGCCTATCCTTAAAGGGTCGCTGTGAGTGAGAATCAACTCAGTAACAGTAACCTACTCATGTTTATCAAATTGAGGGGAAAAATCTTCGATAAAATGTTAAGGAAAAAACCAAAAACTTAGATCTTGTGATCACATAGATTTTTGTCCTATCAGAAACCTGGGATTCTCTCAAGCTTATTTTACATTTTATTCCTGATTATAAAAACATGGACAGACATTTTTTGTGTATGTGAAGATAGCATACTAACATTGGTTCAGCATTACATCTTAGAACATTACAGTGCAAGAGTATATGGAGATGCTTTGAAAAGGATGAAGTATGGTGTAAACAGAGGCTATTGCTGATGAGTTAAAGGAGGAAAATGGAGCAGTACTAATAGTAACAGATGTCCCTTCAAGGTCTTCATGAAAAAGGAAGGTGGCACATTATACTGGAGAAGCTAATTAATCAAGCTAAGCCAGTTGTTAATAAGTTCTTCAGTGAAGAGAAGGAACAATTCTCATTTCTGTTACCAATGTTCTCCAGCACCATCTGCGTGGGGGAGGCACAGTGGGCTATATTTTCAGTCACTCCAGGGGGTAGAATTGGGCAGAAACTACAAGAAGGAACTTTCTCCACAGATGAATCAGGATTCCTGAGGGGAGATGTCCGAGCCCCTAGAGCTGAGTGGAGTTCTCTCCATCTATGTGGCCACCTGCCAGGAGTGCTCAGAAGAAATGTTGCGTTGGAAAGGAGATTGAACTAGATATGCCTTCCATTTTATATCCAAGTGTCCCTGAGTTTAGTAAATATAAGCTTTGAGATGGCTATTATTGTACTGTATATTTCACTTTGGCTTCAAAACAGAAGAATAACACGAGTTGAATTTGCCTCTCATGAAGAAATTGAAAACAGAGAGAAGGAAGTCATTCTTAGTCTCACTGTAAATTATTTGCAGAGGAGGGATACATTGTCACAGCTCTTTAGTTTCCTGTATTTGCAGCAGGCAGTGACCCATCCCCATCCCTTGCTACTTGTTCACATGTAGCCTTTGTTCCCATAGGACTAGGCCCAGTCCCCTGGCTCTCTCACTCATTCATGCCTTGTGCCCTTGCATTTGCATTAACCTGGCTCTGCCTGCTTTCCTTCCCCTCCCTAGGAACTCTCTACCTCTTTTAGGACTGTATTTTCTTTTCTCTTAAGTATTCTCAGTCGTTTAACCTGGGTAGGGGTCCTTCCTGCAGTCCTACACCCCTCGAATCCCCTTTTTCTCAACACTTTGCATAATGTATTTAAACATGTTCTTGCTTTATGTAGTACTTTTAATACTATATTGAATTCAAATTCTTTTTCTTTGGTCAGTCTCTCTTCTTTAAGGTTTGAGGACAGGGAATATTTTATAGCTGCCTTAGGCAGCTCTGGTGGCTTAGTGGTAAGAAACTGCACTCCAGTCCTGAAGGGCACATGCTTTGAATCCACTAGCTGCTTCTCCGAAGAAGGATCGGCAGTCTTCTGTGCAATTTACTGCTTTTGAAAGCCTACCGGAGGGTCAGCTGTGGGTTGATTCCCACTTGATGGCACATGACAACAGTGTACTAACTATGTAGCACAAATGGTTCAGTCAGCTACTAATGGCAAAGTTGGCATTCAGGTCCCGAGACAAAAGACCTGATGATTTACTTACGAAAAATGAGCCACAGAAATCATTAGGGAGCAGAGCGCTATCTAACACACAAGGGGTCTCCATGAATCAGAGTCCACTCAGCAACAGTTTTTGCCATTTCTAAAATAGGGCCTTATTATTGATAACACAGTGGCTGCAACAAAGGCTCTGGCACAGTTGTTGTGAGGATGGTACAGGAACGGGCAGTGTTTTTTTCTGTTGCACACAGAGTCACTATAGATCGGAGCCCGTGGCACCTAGCAGCCTGAGAAGAGTGCGTGAATTTACTGGAACACACTAAGCTACTATTTTTTGTGATAATTTATACGTTTAGGAAGAGAAAAGCAATATGAATACTTTTAGTTGCCTTTGGGAGAAAATACATCTCCTTGTCTTACTTTGTTAGCCTTCCAACTCCCTCAGCCGCCTCTGTATTTCTCCCTGTACCTTTTTAAATCTTGTTCATCCTGCAGAACTCCCAGTTAAAGTCCACCTTCTTACATGAGGTCTTCGTGCTTCAGCCCATACCTGTCCCCATCCTCTTATAACTTTCAACATATGCTTTTCCATTTGACCAGTTAATGTTTCCTTGCATTGTTACTTAGCCGTTACATACATAAAGCCTTGTCTCACCAACCAAAAATCTCTAGAAGTCTGGAATTGTGTCTTAAGTTTTCTTTCATTCTGTGCATGCATTGATATGGAATGAATCGGTGAATGCAGAATATGCTCAGACTATGGCTTAATCCTATTCAGCCTAGTTTAGTGTATTAACCAGGTTCCCACCTATTAAGAAGGATGATAGACAGGCCATACTTTGACAAGAGAATGAAAACCTAAACAATCATGTGAAAATGGAAATTAAAAGGGGAAAGCCTGTTAAGTACTAACAGTGGAAGCATTCTAAAAGAAACAGTTGTGCAACTTTATTCTTGTGAGGCCTGTCAGAGCTTTCTTCTTTATGAGCATTATTTTAGAAATAAAGAGCAGCCTATCATGATTATTTGACCTTTTCCAGCTTATTTTTAAAGACTATTGTTAACAACTTAGAACCATTTGAGAGCAAAGTTGATTATTTGGTGAATTTAGAGAGAAAAGTCCTTCACAGTTAGGACAAACTAAGGCAATATTTCTCTGTATTAGCAATAATAGAGTTATATCCTTGGTAAAAGCAACAAACCCCCTTTTTAGGATTTGCTATATTCTCCTAGACTAGAAAGGGAGTTTGTAGACATTGTTCCCTTCATCTTAATGAATAAACTCCACCCTCCTCCGTTGCTGTCTGAAAGGATACCATGCCTGGTGAAAGAACTTCCATTTAGACTTGTATGCATTCAGCTCATTCATTCATCCTTCAAACACGAGCTCTTGCAAGTGACAGACACTACTATCTATCTAGATGTTCTTACAGGCTCTTTCCACTTCTGTCATTAGATGGGACAAATACAGGTTTTCCCACCCCCCTTCCAGCCTTTCTAAGTGTAAGCTGTTTTTTCTTTTCTTGCCATGTCTCATTTTTCTCCAGTGACTCCTGCTTCCTTGTCCCCCCTCCCCTTTGTATCTTTTCTCCTGGATCTCATCCTGTTTGGATGTCATTCTTAAGTGTGGTACTATTCTCTTAACCATGAGCTCTTCCTTCCCTCAGCTTGGCATGAGTCTCCAGGCATCCTGCTGTTTGTTTTTTTCATGTCTCTTACTGACACTTTAGACACTGTCTTGTCTGGGCTGCTTGCAACTCATTTCAGGAGAGGGGGGTGAGGTGTTAAGATTGGTAACTTCTGGTCTTCCAAAGGACCTAAATGTTGCACAGGGATCCCCTTGTGTGTTCATGTATGTTCACAGATGAATGTTATCTTCATGCATAGGGAATTCACAGTAGAGAAATTGAAAAGTCATATTCATTGATCTAAATGATGTCTTGACTTGGAAGGAAAGACAAAGTCTTTGAGTAACATGCACAATGAACATTAATAGTAGCACCATATAGGTAATATGCCTTGCTGCTTAAAAAGAATTTTCATTTTATTGTTAGACTAACTCCATCAGGTATTGAAATGAATCTGAGGGTAA